ACTATATACCTATGCAAAAATATATATACATACATACATATGTGCACAGTATGAATGTTTGTATTATTTCGCAGTGTTTAAGAGCTTGTGGCCACAGTTTAAAGTCATTTCGAGGTAGACCATCGTCATTATTCAAACAAGTATCTTCAAACTGCAAACTGCAAGGTCCAACTTTGGCGCTAATCGACAACCATTATGAAGTGGTTGCAGCAGCAAACGCTCAAAAAGAGTAAAAACTGGTAGCCACTTCGCGTGCTGGCCACTTAATCTGACGCAAGTTGCCGCTGCTTCAATTTAAGGCTGCATTCATTTCGGCTCCAGGTGCCACAGCTGGCGTCCTCTCACGGCAGGCAGGCGACCACCATGTCGGTTACGGGAGTTTTGTCTAGCCGGATAGTTGCCCGGGGCGTCGTTTGGCCTGTCGCTAGCTTGCGACTTGCCTGCGGTTACGGCTGCGGCTTTGATTTTGCTGCGAAAAAAAAACTAACAAGCACTTTGAGTTTACGTGCCAACTAACAAATTTACGCCCACACTTTGGAGATAGCCCCCATTCTAGCTTCAAGGCGACCCAATGTCCTACAATGGCCTAACTATGGCAGTGGCCGCAGCATTAGCATTTAACGTCGCAGCTGCTTAGTTTAGGGGCTACTTTTTATAGCCGCCGCGCTTGGAATTTTTATTCTTTTCTCTTGCTGGCGGGCCGACCAGCAGAACTTTGTCATAATTTTTGCGGCACGTTGTCCTCATCCTGGTCCTCATTGTCAGCGCAGTCGCCCCTAGCCCCTTCACGCCTCCATAGTTCTGTTGCAGGCAGCAGTCACAGTGTCAGCGTGATAACTCCTTTTCGTGTTAAACATTTTAAACTTGGCTCGCCGCGTGCACTTTTCCCCATGTGTGTGAGTTTGTTTGTGCAGGCCAAAGTGCTATGCGGCAGTCGTCTGCCGGCAGCAGGAGTAGCAGCAGCATCTGTCGACTTGCCTCACTCTCACACTCTCACTCATCCACACACACACACATCCAATATATATATATATACATATATACAAGAAAAGTCTGCTATGACGAGCTTCCTAAAACAGGAAACCCCCTGTGAATAGAGCCAAGTTATTCAAAATGTTCTATTTGTAAGAAAAAATATTACATTTTTGAAATTGCTATAAATATTGAATATATTTAAAAGGTGAAATAGTCTGTTACTTAGGATCCGTCTTGGCTCGATATACATACGACTACATACATATTTAAACTGGTTCTAGAGCAAGAAAGTTAATAAAAGTTGCTATTACTTTAAAATTGTTGGTGACTGATCTACAAAATGCACACATTTTTATTTAGAAAAGATAATTTCATTTGAATATTTTTAAAAAACAACCGTTAACAAGCTTTAAAAGTGCTTTATCTTACCCTACCCTGTATTTTACTTTATGTATTACATAATTTTGCATAATAAAAACATAATTAACATGTTATATGGCTGCAATATCTAAATCAATAAAGTAATATCATATCAATATCATATCACCATATCCATATACAATGTAGGTATCTGACATGGGCTTGAGTAAATTTTTTGATGAATTAAAAAAATTAACATAAATAAAAGGCGTCACACACTTAAAAACACACTTAACATTCAGTTAATTTATTGAATACTCATATTTTTGATTATCAAAAGCTTAAGTTATTAAAATTGCTATATTGAAATATCCTATTCATTCGCCACTATTAATAATATTCGATAAGTCGTGGACATTATTGAAGAAAAGCGTTTTCCAGTTTCAGTTGAAAGCCATAAAATTTCGTTACAAATGTTCTGAAACGGGAAGGAATCCTTAAAACGCTTACGTTCACCTTCATCGTTGACGCCGATCGCTTCGACGAAGCCCATTTTTGTCTTTAAGGGCAACTGAAAGTGAAATTAGGAATGTTCAATATATTTTAACATATAATCGAACAAACGCGGCACTGAAGTATCCTGTGTCCAAATAAGTTTCTGCTGCAGAGCAACTGCAGAGTTGTTTTTGCTTATAGCTTCGCTTCAGACTAGCTGATTTGTTGGATAGTTTAAACAGAGGACATATAGATTACAGATTAAACTGATAAATAGGAGTCTAAAATACTTCATTCTGCTTGTTGAGATACACGTATAAGACCATAGTTTCTCATTAAGCCCGGTACCACTTGGTTAAAAAGGGTATATTAAGTTTCTTCAAAGTATTGTATGTAAAAGTCAGAAAGAAGCATCTGCGACCCCATAAAGAATACAAGTATACTACATATTCTTAATCAGTTCATATGTATTTTCTTCATGGTTGTTTGGAAACAATTTTGTTCAATTTCAAAGATTTGCTGACTTCACATAAACGGCTTTGTTCTGGAACTGATCGATACATGTTTGAGTTACAACAAAGGGGTTATCGCTAGATACAAGGTCGGACCTTATGCTCCAATTGCATGGTTCGTTTGTGGGGAAGGCTCACTGTACACACTCAAGCGTCCGTTGCACGCAGCTTTGGCTTGCTTTGCTTTGGCCATACAATCCCCGGTTCTCCTCGCTCCCCTTCACTTGGCTGCCTGGCCAACACTCTTTTTGGAGTCAACTGCATGTCATGTTCGTGTGATTGTTTCTCGAGTGTTGCAGCGGCGGAGAGTCCTGCTCCTGGTTGTTGCCTGTGCCTGTGTTTGATTACAATGCGGCCACGTTGGCTGTGCATGCGTACTCACACACACACAAACTCCCGCGCTCCTACATGTGTATGCGTGTGTTTTTGTGTACTGGCATCGTTTGTACTGATAACACGTTAAGTGCGCTTGTTTATCCTGCAAGATAATTTGGACAAGTGTCACCTCTTGGATTTTCACGCGCCGGCGAAAATAAAAAGCAAAGGCGCCGCCAACGATGGGCAGGACTGCGGCCAAAATGCGACAAGTCCTTCGAAATATGCGAACAGTTGTTTCCTGTCCAGCTGAGGCAGCTACTGAGGCTACTGTTAAGCTCGATTTTCATATTTTGGATTCTGGCTTTATTTTCATATACGAGCATATTTCAGGCTTTCACCAGTAGTTGTGTGTGGTCTTGTATTTCATTTGCTTACAAGGGCTTCGGGAATGCTAGACTATCCGCTTCTTACCTGCACTTTGAGGAAACAGAACCTATAGAATGTCCTCCAAATTATTTAAATCTAAAGATTATATTACAAAGACTTATGTACAAAAACTAACCGGGACGAAGCTACTTTTACTTTTACCTTTACTGTGACTTACAACAACAATTATATTTCTCTATGCTTATATAGTATATCTATTTCAATAGAAATCTTGAGTTAATTTGTCTTAGGATTGGCCTTATTTATAACGATTAACTTAATTTGCGCCTGCTCTCTCTAGGTTCTCAATTACAAGTGAGTTCATCGTCCAGTTCATTCATCGGAACAACTTAAATGCTATCGGACTTAAATACAATCGCACTTAAATACTAGTTGTCGGTGAGTTACCGAGTTCATATTAATACAATCCAACAGAAAGCATTCATTACCTTTTTTGTATTTGGTATTTTTTCATTTGTATCACAAAGGCGAATAAATCGTAGACCAAATGTTATAGGAAATTAGTGTCTGATTATCATTGTGTTCAATTGCTTAATTTTTGTGCCGAAACTATTTTGAAATAAACAGGGTACTTTTTTAAAATGAAACATTAACCGCTTTCTTCCCCTAATGTGGATCAAATTTCTCAGAGCCACACTCTTGTAGTTCAAAAAGCCCTTTGTTTGCTGCTTGTTTTCGTCGCTGAAAGCCGATGTCCAACATTTCCGTATTACCAACTCTGCCTCCTCCATCAAATTTCCATGGCCATTATAGATTTTATTTCACTTGCGGATCGAATTTTTTAAGACGCTTCAACATAAAAGGAAACTTTCAGCTTCTTAGCTTTTTTACAGCAAGCAGACCCTAATCAGTAGAAATAGTCTTGTCACATGTTTCACGCCCGCTGCATTCCTTAATGCACCCTGCTGGGTCCATAATCAAAATTAAAATCCAAACAATCACCCAAGCTCTCTGACAAGCGCGCATGTTCACAGCAGCTCAAAAGTTTGACAGCAATCAGATGTTTCCACCAGCTTCAGCTTTAGCCTCAGTCCGTAAACCGACAATTGTTGTAGCTGTTAACCTTGCTAGCCAAAGAACGAACAAAACAAAACAAAATCGCGGGGCCAGTGTTTACAGCGGATGCAGCATGTGTGCCAAGCGGCCAACGAGAACCTGGGCCAACAGCAAGCAGATTTGAGCAAACCTGTGTGCTACACGAGAGAATATGTTGAGAAAGCGGAAAATCACGAGTGCGCAGAAGCGCTGAATGGAAGCACATCGAGCGAGAGGAAAAGCTTTGCTGGCTGCCTTCTGTTCTGCGCCCAGGACGAGGCACCACTGCGACTGCGACTGCGACAGCCACAGCGGCACCGAGACGCGTTTGGTCGTTTGGCCAATGTCAGCAGTTTAAACAAGGACGCGTTACGTGTAGAACTCGCGCGAATCGTCGAGCGGATCGAGATCGTAGTGTTCAATGAAGGAAAAAATGATTGTGTGGCATGTCAGCGTATGTTATTGCAAGAGTGTGTGTACGTGCGTGTGACGTTTTGTTGGTGCGGGCCATGCAATTGAATTTAAAGTTCCCACACTTCAAATCAGAAATCAGCTGAGTTGCCAAGCCAAAGTGTTACGTATACGCAACGTGTTCGTAGGCGTGTGTGTCCTATAGTGTGTGTGTGTGGGTTCGCGCCTGAGCGATGTTTTTATTGATTGAGTGTAATCTGCGTGGCGCTCAAGGATATTAAAGATATTGTTCATAAGTATTACATACAAAAGGGCCAGTCAAACCTTAAATATATACGCATGAAAGTATAAATAACTTGTGTGTCCACAGCAGCTGCTGGCCGTAAAACGCTGGCCATGTAGCCGCCATAACAGAAATACGAAGTCGAGAGAAAACGTGCGATTTCTGCGTGCGCCGCTGCTCCGACTCCTGTCCTGTGTTCAAGGTTGCCTGACCGCCCCGTCGCCCATCTATCCAACTGCCCACGTCATCATTGCGTGTGTTTGTACCTTGCGCGTCGCTGGGTCCATCGGTCCGTCGGTCCGTCGGTGCGTTGGTTCGTCGGTCCCCCAGTTCGTTAGTCCGTCGGTGTGTGGGCCAGTTCAGTTTATTAAGTAAGGCACGCAAAGTGTAAAACAAGCCGTAAAAAGTTCATGCCAACAACAAAATAAGCAACGAATACGTGTCACGTTGCACGCTGACAAAATGTCAAGTACAAAAACAAACTAGTAAAAAGCAACAAACCGAAATAAAAAAGTGAAAAACAAAAACGAATTGCAACGCCAAAGTCAAACAAAGAATCACTTGCACAGATTAAATCAACACTCTTTTTGTTGTGTTAGTGTGGGTGTGGAATCAAACCTCGAAATTAAAGTAAGCACCTATTTACTTTTGTCTTTTTGTATATATGTACGTGTGTGTGTGTGTTAGTTTGCATGCAACCCAGTGCTCTGTAAACGTCACACATGCGATAAGTAAAGAAAATCTAAAGACAGAGGAAAGTGAAATAAAGCCAGGTCGGGCTGACTGTGCAAGAAAAATCGAAGCGGTAGCTGCGACTACGTGAGCCCGCCTTGGGCTCTATGTTTTTGCCACACTACAAGTTTATCTTTTAGTTTAGTTTCTGGCTGACACACATACACAAATAAGAATATACGTTCATTGAGCCGTATGCAGCAGCCCTGAGCCTTAAGCCGGCTGCATACACAAACGCCTCTTATGTACAACATTCAAGCCCAAACCCAAACCCACACTTATAGCCAAACATGCAGAAGATGTCATTGAGTCGCAGACAGGCCGTGTGGGTGCCGTGCATCTTTGTAGGACAACGAACTGCTGTGGTTATTTTTGAGCGGATTCACACACACACACACCAACAAAGTCAGCCAACTAAAAGCCTCAGCTGCATTTATATTAGTGAGCACGGCCTTACGTTGTTTGTGGCTTGATACAGTTGCATACATTTCGGACAGGACTGCAATAGGCTTATGAAAAGCTACAGCTCTACTTTGGGCCGCTGTGGATTCTGCCTAAGCCCTAATTCTAAAGTACAGCCCGTAAACACAGTAAATTTAGTTTGTTCTACGAATTCTAAGAATGACAAACATGTCGGTCAGCGGTGTCCCAATGAGACTCCAAGTGCCCTGTCCTGGGGACAGAGTATGCGAGCACACGAGTATGTTCATACGTGTATGTACTTGCGCCCACTGGCCACGTTGCGTATGAGTTATGTGCGGTAGTAAGCCCAAATATCGTCTGCGGCCGTTAGTTCGCCTGCTTCTTGTTTGTTTTACGCATTACCACAAATATTTGTCCATTGGACAACATATTTTTGGGCCAAGTTGTTGATTTTGGCATTCAGCTAGACGAAGCAGGAGCTGGGGGAATGGGAGGAGCAATTAAGCTGCCAAGGAGAATCAAAATCTGAACAGCTGATGTCAGCAAAACTTTAATATTGTTTGTATTGTTGCCGCTACAGGGCAGACAATGAGAGTGCAAAAACACAAGTACCTGCAAGTTGGTATATATTAACCAATGACAGTAAAAATTTATATTCCACTTCGCTTAATGGGCTAAAAATGTATTGTTGTGGCCCACAAAAATGTTCACAAACAGCATATAAAACGTGAATTTGCAGTCCCTACTGGGTATCAATAAAGAAAAATGTAATAAACAATATTAATTTGCTGCTTGTTTATTGCAAAATTAAATAACAAAGCACAAATAAATAAATAATAGCAGAAAATCAATAGTATCTGCTTCAGTTATTTCTTTTCAAAACATCTTTATTACCTCCGCAGTAATAACAAAGAATATTAATAATATGAATGCATTAAAAACACATAAAAATTGAATAAGAACATTTAAAATTTTAATTATTGGTAGACAAAGTTTAGTTTATGGCGATTGGGAATTGAGGAGAGTTTCGGCGAAATTTATAAGCTACGGAAGGAGATAATTAATAATTTTAAATAATAAAACGTACCTAAATTCATTTATATTTTCTAAATTCCTTCACTTTCTCGGGCTTATGGTTATGATTTTTTGGTTGATACGGAGTTGCGGCAAAGCAGCAGCAGCAACAACATCTGATGCCAGATCATGGTCAAAGATAACATTTCTTTAAAGATAACATAATATAGTAATATTATAGTACATACATATGGCGTAACCGAAAACAATGATTCAATGTGGGTAAACAGTTCCAAGAATCTTGAGGGCAATGAAAAAAGGGATTGTAGGTTCTTTGAAAAGAAACTTATCTTGCTTGGGAATATGAATACGAATAGCTTTCACGTGTACATTTTTCGAGATCTTCGCGGCATACAGATGGAGAGGCGGACTAACAGCCGGAAATTGATGCCTCTAGGTCTTGCAGAAAATGTTCAGTTTATTCAAAATCCTCATGAATACTATACAAATATAAGAAAAACTTTTTAGGTTAAGAAAGTTATGGACGACACAAAATTTAATTACGGATGTATTTATTAATAACTATCAATACATATTCATAGCAGACAAATTAGTTTTATATAGCACACGCAAAAAAAAACTTAACTCAAAAGTTCGAAACCCAAAAGGAAAATTTGGCACCCTTATAATAAAATGACTTTTTAGAAATTCTGCTTTCTTGAATAGTTAGTTTTTGCAAGGAAATATGCAACGAATGAGTTAAGAAGTCGGCTGTGCCGAATCTGCATATCCTTCATTGTGTGCCACAAGAAAAACCCTAATGTATACAATTTTGGGCACATCAATTCGTTTTGTTTTACCGATCAAGCTTCTCAATAAATGTGATTACATTTGGTGTTCTATGGTCTACAATTGAAAGTACATTAGTGATGTATTACGTTTTCAATGGGAAATTCGGTTCCAAAAATGATTTTCCTGTATTTTTGGAAATAGTATAATTTTATCAGATATATGATATAGAGATCGGTGTAGATTGAACATTGAAATTATGGAAATTATGAAAGCATTGGAACAGAGAGAGGGGCATTGGGATTTGTTCCCATTTGCCAATTGGGGATACGGTATAAGAAGACGCAATAGTCATAAAAGCCATATTCCGACAACAGCAAGTTTAAAGAATAATTGGCGCTCGTCTCATGGAAATAGACCATTTGGAAGTATGTACTACTTTCGGAGTACGTTCTCCAATAGATCTGAAGCGGTAAAATAAAAAATTATAGCACTAGTGATACAGATTCCTGTTCTGTTTCTCAAACTGCTGCCAAGTTTCCCAGCTCAACATAACTACACGTATTTACTTTTATTCATTGTTTATGACGTGCATGTTTTAATTTGCTGACAGGAAAAATCTGATTGCAGCCACAGCTATTCATGTAATTATAAATGTATATATGCAATTTGAAAGTGTGTTTTATGTTGTGTGTGTTGTATGTTTGAAGCTAATGTTATATGCACATTTCAATTTACTTGAAACTCTCGCTATTTATGTGCCATATTCTTTTTAGCTTGCCGTGCTTTCCTTTCCTGTGCTCTGCCCTGCTCTACTTCTGTTTTCACAGTTTCCATTTTTAGTTAGTTGGAGTGTTGCGAACATGCATTTTACTCCAATTAAATTTTCATGCCATATGAGCATTTTATGCAACGACAACAACAGCAATAAGCAAGAGAGAATGTTAAAGTCGAGCAAGTGCGACAGTGAAATACTCTGTATTCAAAACAAAATGACTTCAGAAGCAGCCAGACATACCAGACGGACATGACTGGATCGATTTGCCACACTGATCTAAAATATATACTATACAAGTATTTCACGAGGTCGGAGGTGCTTTCTTCTAACTTTTACATACATCTGCATAAACGCAATATACCCGTTTACTCTTTGGCTACAGGGAAAACAATTTCGGCCATATCAATTCGTTTTGTTTACCGATCACTTATGTACCTATAAAATCGAGCGCACCACTTCTGTGCGTTACAAAACGTAACATACCCTATGCAAGGGTATAACAACAACAGCATGTGAGAATAGGAATGTGACGGGCTCACAAACACACACAAATGTGTACGCGAGCATTGCAATACGCGCTCGACGCTATTTTCAATTTCCGTCGCATATACTACTGCACATACATACATACATACACAACATGCATACTCGTATGTACATATGTACTATACATACTCGTACATATGAAATGGCTAGGAATGCGATTTTTAACACAATTTCACAGACAAACAAACAGAGAGGAAGGAGAGTGTAAAAAAACGAGGTGCACAAACAGGCAGGCAGGCAGGCAGGCAGGCAGGCAGGCAGTCTGTCACTTAGTCCTTTAGTCAGTCAGTCAGTCAGTCAGTTAGTCAGTCAGAGTCGCAGAGGCAGGCACAGCACTTGGCATAGAAAATGTAAGCGTCAAACACACACACCAACACACAAACACACGTACTACAAGTTGGGCAAAAACAACAGGCAGACCGACCCAACGAGAGAGACCAACTGACTGACAGTTCAAGTCAAATGCCCTTTTATTGAGATTAGAGCATTTAGGTCACTTCCGAATTGTGTTTCTGTAACAGTGGGCGTGCAAGTGGGATAGCAGCTAAGGACAGCAATATAGTAGAGTCGGATCGAGCTTGCTGTTTAATATTAAAAAACCTTGTCATTTTGTCGTGATGGCGCCACACAAAAAATCAATAAGAGCAACAGCAGAGTTGAAGGCTAAGCGCAGCTTTGCCATATAACGGAAACAAAATAAACAAACTCTAAAAGGGACAAGTTTTTTACCCTCGATTTTACAGATAATAGTACACTAGTTCTCATTTATTTCAGTACATAATATATTTAGCAGCACTAGGACTTTAAGGCCATAATCTAAGGATCTGTGACTATCATTTGTTCTCATACCATCAGGTCTGATAACAACATTCTCAAAATGCAAATTATCTTCAATATGTATCTCCGCATTCAAAAGAAGTTTTTGTTTCTTACATTTTTAAAATAACAACACAATTAAGAAAAAAATTTGATTAGAACATAAATATAAAATGCAAATAATAAAAAAGAAGTGGAAAAGCTATGGCTCTGAAATACCCTGTATGTGCAAGATAATAATTATATAACTTTAAAAAATGATAGAAAACAGCCGAGCAAGCCCGACAGAGAAATACCCTAGCCAGACAAGCTTCGGACACTGAGTTATATGAGCTCCTAGAAAAAGCAAGAAGAAGGTGAGCGAACTCGAGGCTGCAGTTTGTGAGAATAGTACTGGGTGAACTTTTTTCGCTGATAACTTTTCTTAGAGTTGACCAATTTAAATGAAATTTAAAACAAAATTAGATAATTATATATATGTAGATTAGAAGTGCAAGTTTCCTTTATGTAGATTTCAAAATGTGAACGGTAT